CCTGTATGAATTATCTTATGTGCAGAAAGGGTTGAGGAGTATGCAAACTCTTTGCCACATTCTTCACATTTGTAGGGTTTCTCTCCTGTATGAATCATCTTATGTGTAGAAAGGTTGGAGGCCCGCTTAAAAGCTTTGCCACATTCTTCGCATCTGTAGGGTTTCTCTCCAGTATGAGTTTTCTTATGTATAGTAAGGTGTGAGGACCGGTTGAAGGCTTTGCCACATTCTTCACATTGGTAGGGTTTCCCTCCAGTATGAATTTTCTTATGTGTAGTAACAGTTAAGGACTGGTTAATAGCTTTGCCACATTCTATATATTTGAAAATTTTCTTTGCAATATGTCTTGTCTCATGTCTGCTGGAATTTGAAAACTTACAAAATACTTTCCTATATTTATCACATTGAAATATTTTTCTGTGGGTTATTGTCAAACTTTGGTTAATTCCATTATAACCTGCTTTGTGCACATGACACCAGGCTACGCTTTCACGGACATTTTTTAACTGTAAAGTGTCATATCCATATTTTTCACATCTACTCAGTATCATTTTTTGGAAAGAATCTTTCATGCTCTGCTCCGGCAAAAGGTCTTGGGCAAAATGAGAAGACACACCTGAAAGAAACAATACAAACACATTACTTGAATTGCTAGACTCAGATAAATACACTTTACAAATCTATTGTGTAAAATCATACAAACTACATCAGCGAGATGACATAGCAAAATACCACAAGCTGTAATTTCTTCCTGGTCATATAAATATAACAAAAACATACTGACCAAAATCCATTTGTGAAAAATTTATGAGTGTGTTAAGTGTGTGAAGGCCCCAGGTGAGCACAATTCAAAAAGCCACACAGAAGAAACGGAAAAGTCGGTTTCTCATATGAGACACGGGTCCTCCTCCTCAAGCACAGTGCCAGTCAGGGACCGTGGCTCATGCCTGTCATCCCAGCACTTGGGGAGGGTGACAGGGGTGGAACACATGAGGTCAGTAGTTGAAGACCAACCTGGCCGAGATGCTGAAATCTTGTCTCTACTAAAAATACAAAAAAGTAGGTGGGAATGGTTGGGGGCACCTGTAATCCCAGCTACTCAGGAGGCTGAGGCTGCGAATTGCTTGACCCTGGGAGGCAGAGGTTGCAGTGAGCTGAGACCGTGCCACTACAATCCAGCCTGGGTGACAGAGTGACACTGAGCATTAAAAAACAAACAAAACAAAAACTAATAAATTGCCAGACAGACATCACGTCTCATGCCTGTAATCTCAGCACATCAGATGAAAAAGGCAGGTGGATTACCTGAGGTCAGGAGTTTGAGACCAGCCTGACCAACCGGGTTAAATACCATCTCTACTAAAAATACCAAAAAACTAGGCAGGCATGATAACAGGTACCTGTAATCCTAGCCACTTGGGAGACTGAGGCAGGAGGATTCCTTGAACCGTGGAGGCAGAGACTGTAGTGAGCCAAGATGACGCCACTGCACTTCAGTTTAGGTAACAGAATGAGACTGTGTTACTCACACACACACTAATTTAAATTGCCAACTACTGGTTTCACTTTTAACAAACAAAAAAAATATTAACACATACTTTTTTGTTTTGTTTTGTTTTTGAGACTGAATCTCACTCAGCCGCCAGATGCCAGGGTGGAGTGCAGTGGTACCATCTCGGCTCACTGCAACCTCCACCTCCCACGTTCAAGCAATTCCCCTGCCTCAGCCACCCGAGTAGCTGGGACTACAGGCGCGTGCCACCACCCCTGGCTAATTTTTGTATTTTTAGTAGAGACGGGGTTTCACCATGTTGGCCAGGATGGTCTCCATCTCTTGACCTCATGATCCACCTGTCTCGGCCTCCCAAAGTGCTGGGATTACAGGCGTGAGCCACTGTGCCCGGCGACACATGCATCTTTATCCCTTCTAGGGGCATTTGTAAACACTGGCTAATGTGTCCCATGACATAAAATGCTGAAAGAAAGGATGATATACGTTGAAATGATAGTTTGAGTTCACTGAGTCTAAAGATAAATGATACAGAAGCAGAGAAAATGCAGTACCCCCAACAGGAAATGGGTGTAGCAAGTGACGACTGATTATTAAGAAGTATGAATAAGCCAATTTAGCTAAACACGAAACACAAAATTCTGGACAAGACACATCCTAAAAGCATGTTTGATAAATTTCCAGAATCTCTAGCCAAGACAAGTCTTTTCAGACTACAAGAAAACAATGCTATATTATAAAGATTGTAAGAGGTAGTTTTTGTTAATGTCAAAATCTCAATCTCAAAGATTACAATGTATACAAAATATTAGAGTAACATGGACCCATCAAAAAAAATTATAAAATTTTCAAAAGCAACCATAAAAAGTATATAATTCTTTTTTTATTTTTTAGACAGAGTCTTGTTCTGTTGTCCAGGCTGGAGTGCAGCAGTGCGATCTCAGCTCACTGCAACCGCCACCTCCTGGGTTCAAGTGATTCTCCTGTCTCAGCAGAATCCAAGTACCTGGGATTGCAAGTGTGTACCACCACACCCGGCTAATCGTTTTGTAATTTTTAGTAGAGATCGGGTTTGACTATCTTGGCTGGGCTACTCTTGAACTCTTGACTTTGTGATCTACCCACCTCGGGCTCCCAAAGTGCTGGGAATGCAGGCGTGAGCCATCGTGTCCGGCATAGTAATTTTTAAACTTCCAAACAAATTGAACAGGCGAGGCTTGATGGCTTATTCCTGGAATCCAAACATACTGGGAGGCCAAGGTGGGAAAATCACATGGGGGTGGAGTTTGAGACCAGCCGAAAGCCAGGTTCAGTGGCTCACGCATGTAACCTCAGCACTTTGGGAGGCTGAGGCCAAGTGGATCACCTGAGGTCGGGAGTTTGAGACCAGCCCGACCAACATGGAGAAACTCCATCTCTACTAAAAATACAATATTTAGCCAAGCATGGTGGTAGCTCATGCCTGTAATCCCAGCTACTTAGGAGGCTGAGGCAGGAGAATCGCTTGAACCCGGGAGGCGAGGTTGTGATAAGTGGGGATCACACTACTGCACTCCAGCCTGGGAAGCAAGAGCAAAACTCGATCTCAAAGAAAAAAAGAGAGAGACCATCCTGGGCAACATGGTGAAACCCTGTGCTACTAAAAATATGAAAATTAGCAGGGTATGATGGCATGTGGCTATCATCCCAGCTACTTGGGAGGCTGACACATGAGAACTGCTTGAACTCGGCAGGGGGAAGGTTGCAGTGAGTGGAGATTGTTCCACTGCACTGCAACCTGGGAAACGGAGCAAGACTATCTCAAATATAACATAAAATGGCTCACACTTCTAATCCCAGCACTTTGGGAGGCCCAGGTGGGTGGATCATTTGAGCTCAGTAGTTCAAGATCAGCCCAGTCAGCATGATGAAACCCATCTCTTCTGACAATACAAAAAACTTAGCCAGGCTGGTGGCAGGCATCTGTTCTGGCTACTTGGGAGGCTGAGGCAAAACAGTGCCTTGAACCAGAAGGGGGAGTTTGCAGTGAGCCTAGATCACGCCACTGAACTCCAGCCTGGGTAACAGAAACAGTCTCCGATTCAGAAATAAATAAATAAAATGTAATACTGAGGAAGTCAGATAACACGGAGAACTACCAAACATCAGAAAAATGAGGATAACAAGAAATATTAAAATAGCAAAATACAAAAAACTGTGGATATACAAAATACAAAAAATAATTGAAAAATTTCTTTCTTTCTTTTTTTGTTTTTGAGACGGAGTTTCACACTTGCTACCCAGGCTGGAGTGCAATGGCGCGTTCTCGGCTCACCGCAGCCTCCGCCTCCTGGGTTCAGGCAATTCTCCTGCCTCAGCCTCCTGAGTAGCTGGGATTACAGGCACGCGCCACCATGCCCAGCTAAT